TACAAAGCTTCTTCAGGGTTCAAGGTCCCAAAGCCCGAACCCTCAGTCATTGCTGTGTCTATCGATAGGTTTTCCTTAATAGCAGCAGGAGAAGTTGGTCTTGTCGATCTAGCGGCCTTGGTAGCAGCTTTGGCTCGAGCGACGGCCTGGTAATCGCGTTGGCCAGCTTGTCGAATCGTCACGAGTTGCTCCCTGGTAGCTGGGCCAGACCTGTTAGGACGAGCTAGACAGTCTCGACTGCCAGATTGATGGGGGCCTCCGCAGTTTCGACATTTAGAGGCCGCTTTACACTCGAATGCCGAGTGCATGGTGGATCCGCAGTTCCAGCAGGCTGGCGCGCGAGAGCACCCACGGGTGGCGTGGAAGCCGAGACATCGCCTACATTGCTGTATGGCAGGGCGGTTTCGTTGGATTGTCGCTACTCCCGAGTCGTCAAAGAGTCGGAATCCAGGCTTTGGGCTAGCATTCCTGGGAAACAAGGCCGCCCAGGATCTATAAGGAGCGCCGAGCTTAGTATTTCCGTGTATCCTCACTCGGTCTGGAGTGCAGTTCGTTACCCGGAGGATTTCGGCGGCCACAATTTCGGCAGTGACTTCGATTCGTCCTTCTAAGCCGAAAACTGCAACTGGAACCGTTGCGATCCGGAGGGAAACTAGATCACTTGGTGGTTCTAGTTTTGCCTCCACTTGCGTAAAGGTGCTGGAGGTCTCCAGCAGTCGAGTTTTTGCATCCGGGTTTTTGGCACGGATGGCAAAGCCAGTGGGAACGCGTTGCACCTGGTCGACATCGGACGGGGTGCATTGCGTATGTTTAGCCACGGCTTCGCGAACGCCAGCCGGAGAGAGCTGTTTCCACTCGTGGTTTGCATCGAGACGCAGGAAGAGTCGGTCATCTTTCGATGCTGTTGTTGCTGCTGGCTTCTTCTCCGGTTTCCTGGCAGATGGAACAGCCGAAACCGAGGTGATGTTTGCAGGAGCCTGTGCTCCTGACTTTTGGTGTCCTGCTCTGGTGACAGTGGCCCAGGTGCTTCTGAGCGGGAGAGCTGCAGTAGCCTTTGAAATATTCCGGGGAATGGCTACAGGGACGACGGTCGCAGGGGGAGTCGCGACAGTTGGTCGGTGGGGTAGTACTGGCGGAGCAGTGCTTGGCCCGGCCGCCACGAATTGTGCGATTGCTGCCCTTAGGTAGACTTTGATCGAGTCTACAAAATTTTTATCTTCACCGGTGGAGAGCGGTAGAAGAGCTGCCTCGACACTGCTAATCGCCGTCGAGCAGATATTAAATTGCGCGGCTTTTTGCCTTGCCCTGCGCTCCTCCGCTTCCATCGCTGCAAGCAATTCTGGAGGGTATATTTTTTCTTTGCCTGCTGCTTCTATCGCTGTAGGCGGTGGGGCCAGCGAAGAGTTTTCGGCTCCTGCTGCGTTGGTTGAAGATACGTCGGCCCTTTTCGCGGGCCCTACTTCCTTAAATCGCGGTAGTGCTGGAACCGTGGCGCGCTTTTCGGGTGCTGCGACGGTTTCTCTTGGAGTTATTGCGGGCCCTGGGGCTTTTTCCGTGTTTTCTGGGCTGGAGGAGGCCCATCTTGAATCTGATAGAGATTTCAACTTCTGGACTTCGACGTCCAACATCTCTACCTCGGGTATATTGCGAACGTTAGCTTCGAGCGCAGCCTCGATGTAGTCTAAATTTTTTTTGGAGGCCTCTAATCCTTTCTCCGTAAGTTTTTGTCTTGCAAGAGTTAGTATAGATTCATGCAATTTGTAGGATTTGATGACGCGATCTTTGGTGATTCCGCTGATCGCGTTTTGGTGCGTTCTACGCGTCGGGGGCATTTTAAAATGCCGCCGATGGCAAACAATTACAATTCGATTCGATAGATGATGGGTGAGATGAATAATAGGGTGGGAATGGGCAACTTGGAATTTCTCGAAAAAAAATTTTATTACATTTGGTCCTAAGCTAACGCTATCTTTTCCACATTGGGTCAAGGACCGGCGGATCCGGCAGGGTTTCCTGTAACTTTTCCTACAGCCTAACTCGTTCCAACCTCGTGAATCGCTACCAAAAGTGCAGCTGGTTGAACAAGAACGAAAAATCACAAAAATCAAAACAACTCCGAATACCAGAAGATTCCTCCATATTTGACCCAGTAAATGCGCTCCTCACACATTCCCTCGTCTGTCACACTTTCCAAATGACAAAATTTATTCAATCTCCGCTGAGAGCAAGAGATGAGTTAGTAAGCACCTTTGATCCAGGCGGTATCCTGCTATTGGTTAGTAGATGCCCCAAAAGGAGACATCGTCGAGGTTGCTGTGTCCTCAAATTTCTTCTTCAGATCCCAGAGCTCCGAAACCGGTTGCCTTGGCCATCGAGACATCCTTCGCCGCGGCGATGATCGCCTCTTCGGCCTTTTTTGCTGCAGCCCTGGCTCGTGCCACCTTCGCGAACTCCCCTTGTTCGATGTGGCGAATCCCCGCGAGCTGCTCTTTGGTCACCGGTCCGGATTTTTTTGGTCTGACTTGGCAGGCCCGAGAATCCGATCGGTGAGGTCCCCCACAGTTGCGACAGAGTGTGAGGGCCTTGCACTCTGTTTCGGAGTGCATATTTGATCCGCAGTTCCAGCAAGCCGGAGCGCGGGAGCAACCACGAGTGGCGTGGAAGCCCAAACAGCGTTTGAACTGTTCAATTGATCGACGAGGCTTATGGATGGTAGCCATACCCGAATCGTCGAAAAGGCGGAAGCCCGCACGAGGGGCTTCGTCCCGGTGAAAAAGGGCATGCCAGTTTCGATAAGGCGATCCAGGCCGACATGTCCCATGAGGTCGGACCTGGATTGGATACGCGCTGGTCGTCAGGAAGATCTCAGAGGTGACACTTGCAGCATCGGTCGCTACGGGGCCGTAATGTGAAACAATACTTACAGGTAAGTTCGGTATCTGTAAGGCGACAAGATCCGAAGATGCTTCGAGTTTGGCGTTTTCACTTGCCAGCTTCGGAGAGACATCTAGGATCTCTTGTCGTATTTTTTCGTTCTTTGCTATAATAGCAAAGCCGGTCTTTACTCGATGAATCGAGTTTATATCATTGTAAGAGAGATTAAGCGTGTCCGCTACCTTACTTCTCACAATGTTGTTTGAAAGATTCCACCATGAGTGCTCCTTTTCCAGGCGAGGGAACAGTCGCTTATCGACTTTCGCCTTGGGAGCTTCTTTCTTTTGGGCTCTCGCCGCAGGTCGCGGCACAGCCTTTGCTATAGGAGCTGCATTTTGTCGCAGTCCATTTTTGGCCACCGTGGCCCAGGTGCTTTTTACAGGCAGCACTGGGACGGTGGGAGTTGTATTGCTCCTGGCTTCTGGAGCCCTTGGGGTCGGTTCGCAGGGCGAGGAGGGAGGACGGGTGGCGTGATGGCCGGGCCCGTGGCCATGTATTGCGCAATGGCGGCGCGTAGGTAGACTCTCATCGAGTCTACAAATTGTCTGTTTGACCCGTTGGTCAAAGGAAGAAGGGTGGCTTCGACGCGAAAGATGGCGGCGGAACAGAGGGCCAGATTTGCCGCTGTTTCGGCGGCGCGTCGTTGTTCAGCTTCGACAATTGGACGAAGCTCTAGGTGACACTCTGCTTTTGTGGCAGCTTTTGGCTGCGACGTTGATCTTGGCGCTGCTTTAACTGCAGCGTTTTCTGACGGTTTTGACGCTGTCGGAGGAGATTTTGACGATTCTCCAGTGCCGTGAGGGACGGAGGATGGTTGGGGAAATTCCTCAACAATTTCCACTGACCCGATCATGTCAGTATCGGGCTCAGTGACGGCGGGGAGGGCTTTTCCCTTCCCTTTAGTTGAGACCTTGCTCATCTCCGCGAATTTCGGTGACTGGGCAAGGTCAGGTAATTTTTCGAGAGCCCTCGGGCGGACTCTCGTGTTGTCCAACTTGGCGTTGGGACGCTTTTTACGAACAGGTGGCATGGTTAAGATGCCAGCGACTCGATGACAATTTACTGAAAGAATGCGAAGAGGCGCGAGAGGGATGGAGATGAGGAAGGGGTGAAGATTCGAAAATTCGAATTTCAAAAAATTGTTTGTTTGTTCATTAACGTGCTAGGTGAAGTAACTACCGTCGCACTCCTACTGGAGCTTGAGCACGAGTGGGGTCGGGCCGGATCAGGTTAACTACCGTAAAGTACAAGTGCCTCGTCCCACCTCAATGACCGGAACCATGCCGAAACGCATCTACGTGTTGAAGCATGACGAGTACAGCAGCCCAGAGTTGAAAACAAAACAAAAGAAAACTTCCACGCAAAATCCTGCATTACAAATAGGCTATTATGTTGATGAATGGGTTGCTACAAATCATGTGCTCAGTGTTAATGGCCAAAGGAAACGGTCACTGCACGTTAGTAACACCATAAAATAATTAATATCTTTCTATGGAAGAGAAAATTACAACTAGATTGTGCCAACATAAAGTGTAACTTGACATTTATTTTAAATAAGCGCTCTCAATAAATCTTGCGCAGTGATAAAGGCTGTGGCTTTTACCACCCAGGGATTGGATGCAAGGCTGGGTACGCAGGTCAGCCCAAACAATCGATAGCAGGTATTGCCGTAACGCACAGTTTCACCCCTGTAGTTAATTAGAAAGTCGCGCTTAAATCCTGGTGACTGAGTGGTCATTAGTTCCTAAGCACATGTCCGTGGTTGAAAACAATATATTTTCGTCTAAACAGCGGCTGCATTTAAGCTAGCAAAATTTTCTCATAAAGTACAGCATTGATATATCAATGATAACCTGAATATATACTAGAAACGCCAAATAAAAGTAGGCATCAATATTAACTATCCATCTCGAATCCAATTCGGATGTAACACCTTACCAAAATGTCCCTAAAACGCCGGTTTTACCGTTGCCTCAGGATGATCATCACTTTTGTTAGTACATCGAAACAACCGAAAAGATTTGGACATTGTTGTAGATCTTTCCATGAACATTGTTCGTAGCTGATTATGTAATTTCAGATGCGGTATCGGCTTCTTCATTCTCCTGGGCCTTGTCATCACCATTAATCTCACGTTCTGCCCATGCACTCCAAAGACCAGGCTTGGGTCGAATACAAATCGAAGCTCCGAGACTTGTCTTTGGTTGCTCAATCTTAATAGCATCTTTTGTGCCGAGAATAAGCGTTTCAAAAAATATTTTGGTTGCACTCGCACGACTGACAGATTCTGTTGGTAAAAGGTCCTCAAAAAGAACACTCATTTCCGGTCCATGGGCGGGGGGTTCAGTAGCTTCGTCACCGAAATAATCACGAAGTAGGTGTACAGCATGCTTGGTTGCTACAGACATAGGTTCTAATTCGCTCGTATGATTTTGTAGAGCAATAGATTCATCTAATTCCTCGGTTGGTGGGTGAGCTTCTTCATGACTAGATATATTTTCCGGTTCGTCGTCATATACAGGTGCAGTAACATCTTCACCGATAATACCTATGGCAGCAGAATCTTGTTCAATGACGGTTGTTTCAATCTCGTTAATCGGAGGTAATTGGGTTGCGTCGTTATCAGATCTTGAGATATTCATAGCCTCGTCTTCGCCGAGATCAAGACGAAGCTTGGTAGGTGACCCCTGATCTTCAGTGATATCCGTGTTGTTGTTTTCAGTGTTACGTTTTCGCTTGAGAGTTTGGATGGAGCCTAAAGAAAGCATCCCACGAAGCTCTGGAGCCCAGAAATCACTTCGATATCCACTTATTATATTAGAGACAAATGCACCAGTTTTTTGCATGTGCATCAGTGCGATTAACCTGGGTTCACGTGGAAGAAGTGATTGGGTATGAAGGATTTTGTCTCTATTTGTTTGCTGGCTTTTTATTTGAGCGCTGCTCAGTTCAGTAGTTGGATCAGGTTGCAATTGGCGTTGACGACGAGCTCTTTGTGCTGGCTTGCGGGCTAGCGATATTTCAGGAATTTCCTCGTCAACCCTTCTGTTTTCATCAAACGTTGCGTTATTGTTATGTTCACGTTCAGCTTCGGCGTTGGCGGTCAAAACATCATCGATATCTGACAGAGGTGATTCAGAGATTCTTTCGGGTTGAATAAGTGGCACAGTGGATAGACCAATATTTTGATCGTCACCCATATACATTTCGACATCTTCATCATTGTGACTCATCCGAATACTGTCCTCGTTCGCAATTTGTATGCCATCTTCTCCAAATTCCAAGTTCAGAGATGTATCGCGTTCCGCCGTATCAAAGCTATCCTTTGTGGGCATTTGGATATCAATTTTACTGAGAAGGTCATCTCCTGCATCTCTTTCGTCTGGGGCGGAACGCGCAATTTCAAGACTTGAATCACCTTGGGGTTCGGTATCATGATCAAAGCCCAAGTCAAGTCCTAGTTCAAGCTCATCCATGGGCTCTAGAATATCTTCGTAATTTTCAGTATTAGATTGCAAGAATTGACTTGCTACAAAGTCTTCCTGCAAATTGATATCCTTGCTGCCAGCCCTTTTCTTTCGTGCATTTGAGTTATCGTCTATTTGCGAAAGGAAAATTGCGGCGTCTGGTAGAGGCGGCATTTCAAGGACATCACCTTCAGTGAGTACGTCGGGAAGCATCAAGGCATCACGTGATGGCAAATTGATACCTTCTGCCATGTCATTATTTCCAGAGGTCTGGAAAGCCTAAAAGCAATAAGACTTCAATTGGGCACTTCTGGAAATAGTAGCTCACCATTTTTATTTTTAAAAGGGCCTCATTGCAGTCGTCCAAAAGATAATTAGCTTTTCGCCTATATATTCTCACTACACCAAGAAGTAACTGGCCGCTTAGTCGAAGTGCAAGAGGTGCTTGGTTTGGCGTAACAATGGCTTCAACGCTATCTTTTACGTTTGTTTGCAAGACATGATTTTTTGATAGCTTTCGCTCAATGTTGGCAGAGAGCCAAACACGTGCAAGCGGTCCAGTTTTAGAAAGAAGTGTCTCTGAATAAAACATTGCTAGTTGATTGATGGTTCACCAGTCGTGAAGGCGTTGCGCCTGCAGCGACGTGATGTAGATTCCTAGAGCTAGCTGGATAAGCTACGAAAGCAAAGCGCATTGAATAACTCCACTTATGTATTTTATTTACTGGTTGTCAGAATCATTTAGACATACGTTTAACTTTCCAGAGTGGGAGTAAAGTAATGTATCGCGAATATCGTAATAGCAATGTTAATAGTCTTAATCCTATATTTGGGCATCAAGCGAAACGCGCGATAGATAGGGTAGCGAGGGGTAGTGCTAAGCGGATAAATATGATTGCACCCCGGACCCGCGCAACAGGCCTAACCTATTAAAGATCTCCATAGTCACATGACCATAATTCAAAATTAACCTTCTTGTGTATAGCACGGTGTCCAAATGTCCAGTATAAGGTATCTGGCCATAGAATTACACACCCATTGAGTAAAGCTATACCTGACCTTAATTTACAACATCGACTCTGGTATAAAATTACAAACTGAAGTGTCTATTCAATTGCACAAGCTGTAGGGCTCCATCAAATATCAACAATATCAATAATTCTTCAACCGCGAAGCTAACGACAATAGCCTGTGGACCGTGAGCTTTATGCCTCGGCCTAAGGGCTCTAATTTATGACAGCGTCTAGGGCTGCTCGCTCTTTATAAAAAAGTACTTAGAAAGATATGCCGTGGCCGTATATTAGCAAACCTGGGGGCGCCAGTTTAGGACTAAACAGAAGCTCGCTTTCTAAAGGAACAATATCAGAGCCTTACGGTGAGCAATCAGAGCTGGCCACTCGACCAATGACCATACGGAATGGAGATAGGGTCACTCGATCGTCTTCCACTTCATCAGTAAGCGCAAAGGTTTGTAATATCTGATAACATATAACAATGCTGATCAACGAAAGACACTAGCAGATGACTTCGCCCATCTTACTCCTGCTGAGACTGCCGAGCGATTACAGACTTCTCTCGTTCATGGATTATCTCCAGTCGAAGCAATATCCCGGCTACATGACCAAGGATATAATGAGCTACCACACGAAGAACCTGAGCCGCTATGGCTTCGATTTTTGAAGCAATTTAAAGAACCGCTTATATTACTCCTTCTATGTTCCGCCTGTGCATCATTGGTAGTGGGAAATCAAGACGATGCCATCAGTATAGCAGTTGCTGTCACTATAGTAGTTTCTGTGGGATTCATCCAGGAATACCGTTCCGAAAAATCCATTGAGGCACTCAGCCATCTCGTACCAAACCACGCTCATCTCATCCGAGGGCAGCAAAACAGAACACAAATCACCCAAAACATCTCGAAATGGCCGCCTACTAGGGGTAAAAGCGATACAATCCTAGAAACAAATCAAGACACAGTACCCCAACTTGAAAACGAATCAGTAATTCAACCAACATCTATCAAAGTTCTAGCCTCTCAGCTTGTACCAGGGGACTTGGTACTTTTCACGACTGGGGATAGAATCCCGGCAGATACACGAGTTGTCACTGCCTCAGACCTAACAATTGATGAATCAAACTTGACAGGTGAAAACGAACCCGTAAGAATAACCGCAGAAACTAAAAGTCCACTAATATCTGCGGTAAAAACCAATAATATTATACCAGATACAACATGGTCTTCACATTCACCTAATGAAAGTGGCACATCAATCATAAGTGAAAATCCTCAAAACTCGACGAATATAGCTTTCATGGGTACCTTGGTGAGGTCAGGCCATGGCCAGGGAATCGTATATGCTACAGGTGGAAGGACTCGGTTTGGTAAAATTGCGGCTGCTGTTACAGAAACTGAAAGTCCTCGAACTCCTCTTCAACTCTCTATCGATCTGCTTGGGTCGCAACTTAGTCAAGCATCTTTTTGCATAATTGCCCTAATTTCTTTGGTTGGATGGTTACAAGGAAAGGGACTTCTAGAAATTTTCACCATTTCTATCTCTTTAGCTGTAGCAGCTATACCAGAAGGCCTGCCAATTATCGTAACTGTCACTTTAGCCCTTGGAGTTCATAGAATGGCAAAGCACAATGCAATAGTGAGGAAGATGCCTAGTGTAGAAACCTTAGGTTCTGTGAATGTTGTTTGCAGTGATAAAACGGGTAAGTGAGACTGAGATCCACTTACATTAGACTGACGAGTCAGGAACCCTCACTACAAACCACATGACAGCTACAAATCTTTGGTACTTTGATATCGACGAGCCCCTCAAAATTGATACCGGTGATGAAGCGGTTGAGGCAACCCCTGACCCTGTAACCTTGCGTATACTTAGGATAGCAAACATTGCTAACAATGCATGTCTGACCCGGCTGTATAGTTCACCTCCATCTGCTAGCTCTGTAGCCATATTATCCTCGACTGCCAGTCAATCCAGGGGTGGAAGCCCACTTCGTAGCCGCTGGGTAGGCCAGCCTACAGATGTCGCATTGCTTGACCTATTAGATAGGTTCAAAGAACATGATGCTCGCCATGGCTTTGGACATAAAGTAGGCGAGATACCCTTTAGCTCAGAAAGAAAATGGATGGGTGTTACCGTAGGTGACATCGCTCTAGACGGCAGCTCAAATTTAAGAGAGGTGGCTTATATGAAAGGTGCAATAGATCGTGTGTTAAGCAGATGTGACACTTACTTGAATAAAGACGGTCGAGAAATGGTTTTAGATTCAAGAAGAAGGCAAGAGGCTATGGAAGCTTGTCATAAAATGGCAAAAGAAGGTCTTCGAGTTCTCGGCTTCGCAAGTGGTCCTATTTCAAGACGAACAAGATCCTTCGGACAAAATAGTAGTCAAAGCGGTACGCCATCCAGGCCCGGATTCCATGAACCACACGCCTCTCACACTGAAGACGTATACAAAGGTCTAACTTTTGCTGGCCTTGTTGGTATGAGCGACCCCCCTCGATCTGGTGTTCGAAAAGCAATAAAGCGTCTTCATCGTGGAGGTGTAAAGGTAATTATGATTACTGGAGATGCGGAGACTACAGCATTAGCCATTGGGAAGAAACTTGGGATTTCAATTCCTCAACCTCGCGAGCATACGCCTAACTCAATTGCAATCAACCCGGTCCTAACAGGCGACCAAATTGATGTCATGACAGACGAAGAGCTAGAAGCAGCTATCGGGAACACCTCTGTATTTGCACGGACGAGTCCGGACCATAAAATGAGAATCGTTCGCGCTTTCCAAGCACGTGGTGATATTGTGGCAATGACTGGAGACGGTGTCAATGATGCCCCAGCTCTTAAAAAAGCTGATATAGGGATATCTATGGGGCTTCAAGGAACAGACGTCGCAAAGGAGGCTGCTGACATGATTCTTACTGACGATGATTTCTCAACTATTCTCAGGGCTATTGAAGAAGGCAAGGGTATCTTTAATAACATTCAAAACTTTCTTACTTTTCAACTAAGTACGAGCGCTGCTGCTCTCAGCTTGGTCTTTTTTTGCACATGCCTTGGGTTTAAAAATCCCTTGAATGCCATGCAAATTCTTTGGATAAGTAAGAATATCGGTTTCGTACATTAAACTGACAAGACAGCTGACGGTACCTAGATATTATCATGGATGGACCACCCGCTCAATCTCTTGGTGTTGAACCTGTTGACCCGGATGTCATGACTCGTTCTCCTCGGAAGCGTAACGCTCCCGTTCTCACGTGGCCTTTAATAGTTCGTGTACTTATGTCTGCTTCTATCGTAATGTTTGGAACTATGGCTATCTACACACACGAAATATTAACCGGTGGTGTCATCACAAAAAGAGCCACCACAATGACTTTTACATGTTTCGTCCTCTTCGACATGTTTAATGCTCTTAATTGTCGATCCGAGAGCAAAAGCGTACTACGAGGAGAGGTAGGTCTATTCAGCAATACTCTATTTAACTGGGCCGTTAGTCTAAGCTTAGGAGGGCAAATTCTAGTTATCTACTTTCCATGGCTTCAGGAAATATTCCAGACTGAAGCACTCGGATTCCTGGATCTAGTGAGCTTGATATTGTTATCAAGCTGTGTATTTTGGGCGGAGGAAGGCCGTAAATGGTGGAAGGGCCGAGATATGAGAAGGTTGGGTGGTGGCTACAGTCAGGTTGTGTAGATAATCTTGACAAAAACTAGTGATCGGCGAGGCCGTATCGCAACGTTGTCATTATATACGCGTATAGTAATGATTGTTTAATTCTGTGGGTTTGCCGACTTAAGCAACCCGTTTTGAAAATTTATTGGTAAATTATACGATTGATCGAATAACTCACAGGTACTTAATTTGGTAGTTATTGGGATAGATTTGTGAGATAAATTTGTCACCTGAAAATGTCAAGTTTGATTCCTGAATGGCTCACAAAATAACTGTCAAAATGGAAAGATAGTAAAAACACTGGTATGTTAGCTTCAGAATAATTGCGAAAATCCATATATCCTGGATCGTCTATATTCTTAGTTGCGCTTTTTATATGCTTAAAAATCAATTTCAAAAGTCTTGAGACAAGCACGAATCTAAATTTATGCAGGACGAAAACTCAACACCTATCTGTGCGTCCTCTTTGAACCTTTAGCTCTCACTGTAGAGTCTACAGAACCGAAATTGAGCAACAATATCAATTTTGAGCTGAGGTATCTAACCTCCCTCTAAGATGCGACCCCGATTACACAACTAACGATTATGGCGACTATGATAATGAAGTTGAGAAAGAAGAAAATAGTTACGGTATAAAACGCTTCAACAATGGTTAAGGAGTCCTCTTCATATCCTAATATAGCTATTCATCCCCGGGCAAACAAGTGCTCACAACAGCAAATTAAGATGCCTTTCTGCCCTCAAGAAAGAGAGAATTGACTCATCAACAATAAAGTCTCTTTACACCTTTACATCATACCATTCTATCCGGGTGAGCATCTAAATTACATGAGTCATTCGATGGCTACATTGCGTAAGGATTTTAGGATACTAGGATAGGCACCTTCTCGGTAATCGATATCGACCAAGACTTTTCTGATATCTTTTCACGATATTTTTCGTAAAGAGACATGATTCATTCGTGAGTTGATACTGTTCAAAAGATCATGGCTATATCACAACGTCATTTATAGACACGATTCATCGTTTGTACTTGTTGTACCAACCATGACTATGTCTCACTGATAGGAGAAGCATCATTGACTAGTTACTAGAAGCCTAGTCAAGATCCTAAACACACAACTGAGACTAGGAGAATTTTATTGAGTAAGTAATTATTCTGATGAATCTAGATCTGCAGGAACATAATCTCGCTGCTTGGCTCGAAGTATATGAGCCTGAGTAAATCATGTATACTAAACTATATAGAAATCTATCTCATTCACGATCATCATCTTAATTCATGTCACCATCAATACCTGCAAAGGGCAGTTAAAATATTTCCTTATAATATTCGGTTTGGCCATGACTCAAATTTTGTATCAAGACAGACTCAACAAATTGAAGACATAAATCATCATTATCTTAAGTCTTGTAAGGGGGGCGAAACTCAACACCTATCAGTGGTATTCCTTAAAAACTCTCAGCTTTCACTGCAGAGTCTACAGAGTCTAGATTGAGTAACACCTTTTCAACTTTGAGCTGGGGTATCTCCTCCGTCAAAAACACATTTCCGATAACACACAGGACGAGCAAGACGACGATAATGATGCTGGGAATGAGCAAAGATAATGTGATACCAAACGCTACAACGGTAGTCAGAGAAGTCCTCGTTATATCACAACATGTGCTACCCACCGGCAGGCGAACAAAAAGCCCACGAAAGCAAAGTAAAAGACCCTTCCGCCCTCAAGAAAAGCAGATTTCGACTCGTCAACTGTATCGTCTCTTCTAACCTTTACTTCCAAATCTACCAGCCAGGAAGGCTTCTGAAGTACATGAGTAACTCGAAAACCCCCACGTCCGTAATAACTTTTGGGTGCTAAGCTAGGCTCCTTCACGACAGTCACTCTCAACTAAGACTTTTCTGATATCTTTCATGACCTTCAATTTGTGCTGCGGCATGAATCAGTGGAGGAGTAAGGAGGAAGCTAGGACGGTTGAGAGACGCTCCCAGGTATACACAGGTCTGCTGCGCCCGGCTGGCCGGCATCTTCGTCATAGGAGAGCCCCGCACCCAGTGGTTTTGAGACTTTTCCCTGCAGCTAAACACCCGCAAATGGCCATCGTTTCGTTCGCTTGAGAGGGGATATAGTGACGGGATAACAGCTCCCATTAGTGTGTACTCGAATGAAGACCTGTGGAGGTATTACTGCTAGAAAGAAGTCGTGAAGGAGGCATTGGAGGGAGGATACAACCCGAGGCATACATACTCCCGGTTTGAAGGCAGAAAGGGCCTACATGTCCTTACATAGTCATAGACTCATTATGACCGTAAACACACTCTATATCTACGAGAATAAAGTGTATTATATTTCAATTTAAAATTTATTAAATTTGACTGTTGGGATTACAGGGTAAAATTATATCTATAACGACTTAGATAAAGCCATGATATTTTACAGATTTATAGATGATTATTCTCTGCTAATCTAGTGTAATAAAATTTATTTATTTGATTTTATTGTCTACTGGGCGAAATCGAACGCTATTGCCCCATTCCAGGGTGAATATGATGGCTGCTACAAAAGAAACTACATTTGTTTAAAGTTGGATGCTGAGAGGCTTTGAAAAATAATTTGCCCTAAGATATTGTTTTGTTTTTTGTTTTGTTCATTAACGTGCTAGGTTACAAGACTACCGTTGCACTCCTATTGGGGCTTAAGCACGAGTGGGGTTGGGCCGGATCAGGTTAACCACCGTGAAGTATAGATAAACCTCGTCCCACTTTGATGACCGGACCACCTCAGACTTCACCTATGTGTCGAATCATACCAAACCTAACCGTCCAGAAACCCGGTGTATACACGCCGTAGCGCAAATTCTTCCTCAGCCTCGGACACCACGCGCCCAAGCCCTTGACATCCTCTTTTTTTTTTAAATAATTTAAGTGTATTCAGCTATAGAGCTATGACACATGACCGGTGCTATGTATACATGTGGGATGACTCTTTTGACGTTAGAGACACTCATACTCTGGATTTCATTTGCAAGTACCACTATGAGGTATGTTCGCTTACACAAACAGTCGACCCTCCTCCGTTAGTACCCACCAAAGGGAATTTAAAAACCTTTGGTTATCCAAGCATGCCTTCGTCATCCATGTATACCAGCGCCGCGATAAAAGTGGTTGTGTTTTGCTGGATTTGAAACAGCGATCTACTGTCTCAGGTGGGATACGTGTCCAAGCTATCCAGGCTCTACTTGGAAGACCGGCTACTTACGTTCATTATTCATGTTAGATACATAGATATAGATATGCGTTTTGATCAATAACCATTTTCCCCAATCTTGTGCTAGTACATTAACTAGAGCCGGTGATAAACCGACACTGATCAGTGATCCAAATTATCGGTCACAGATCCGTACGCGGTATTCATACGAAGGAACGTCCCTTGGAGTCGTCGACCCTATCTGAACTGAGCTCCGACGTGTCAAATTTAAGAAGTATTAAGTATTCGCTCTTCTTACTTCCGCGTCCATTAACGCAATATGTCATTCAAGCATTAACCAGGAGAAATTCCCTAGTCTTGCTTCGTGTCTATCACGCAAAAAAAATAAAACAAATAATGTCTCTCAAGCCATCCTCTTCCACTCCACCTAAATTCGACTCTGACGAAGCAATAACAACATATGTTCGGAATAAACTGGATCTCTATAGAGCAAAAGGTGTACGAGATGATCCTCTATGGGAAAGATGGGTAGAAGACTTCGAGGATTGAGATGTTGATCTCTTTAGTAAAGTTGACTCGGAAATCAGGATAGAATTCCGAGATTACCTCATTTCTCGAGGAATTTATATGACCAAAATCCGAAGGGAAAACACATTGATCAACAACTTGCAGCAGAAGTCAAGAAAGATGATTTCCATGAATGGACTCCCGAAGAAATCGCATTCTATCAAAAAAAAACCCATTAGGGGTAAGCTCACGGTACGACCCAAAAGACCCAAGCTACAAGGAATACGAACGTACAATCCAAGCAGCGTTGGATTATGAAAGGACGAAAGGAAATATCTATAGGGAAATTAAAGAAGAAAATAGAGATGTTCCAGTAAAGGAGAAAGAAGAAGGAACCTACAGCAATCCTACAAGTCATGGAGACAAGGGAAATAAATATGGAGGCAGCAGTAATGAAAGAGACAATCGCTCTTTGTCATATGCACCCAAACAGCAACCATACCCACAAAAAGACAATTCTCTTCCATGGAAGGATCGTCCGCTTCATAAAAGTAGGCAATTGGAGTCTCTCGTCAGAATGTACAAAGACGAGGATAAATATAGAGATGTGAGTGATAGTTACGACTATAAGCGAAAAATATTTATCAGTAATTGTAACAACGCTTGTGTCGAGAAAAGATACTTTGAAGATGCGTTAGCTATAATGTTTGCCCGAGATGCTAGTGAAAAATACCTGGACATAACACTGCACATTGAGGACATGTCATTTGACGAGCGTTGTAATTTCATAAAGTCACACTACGAGACAGTCCAATGGGTAAATAGACGGGAAACGATCTGGAATACTCTCAATCTGATCAAAGAAATTCGAAAGTTTCCAGATAAGCTCTAAGCATTTAATAATCTCGAAAGAGAGTTAAGACGCGTTCAATGAGGACTGGAAGCACATTCAGGAGATGCAGCTCTACGCACTAGGATTATCAATGCCTGTTCTGGAGTGGTCGATTTACACTTTGTGTTATTTTCCCCGGCAAAGACTGCTGAAGGCGTTAGCGCCGATATCCGAGCCCGTTTCATGCAACTTTCTTCATCAGGTATAGCCACCAGCCAATACCCGCAGCATGAATTCAATGAGTTTCAGCAAACTGATAATGCCTACCTGGCAGAGCGTCAGTACCAAACTGCTCGGGGATCTGGAAGAGGCCGGAGTTATAGACATTTTTATGAAAGAGACAAAAACAATAGTAGAATAAAAGAGTCAAGCGCCTCATCATCTTAGACTAAGCGCTGTTTAATTTGTAA